TCAGCATGATTCCTTTAAAATTAATCCAAATTGTTGCATGTATCAATAGTCTTTGCTAAGAGTGTCCCATTTAATATTATTTTCACATTTGTTAGCTAACACATAGAACATACAACTTTAAACCTTTTAAATTTACAGAATTTTAATGTTGTTCCTCATATTTCCTTTGTTAGCTTTTCTGCTTTCCTACTGTCACAAATCCCTAAGTTCCATAGGACTGTAGGGAGCATGTTTTAAAAATTACTCATGTGGGGCTGATGATATAGCTCAGAGGTAGAGCACATGCTCAGCCCTTGGGTTCAATTCCCAGTACCACCACCAAAAAAAAAAAAAAAGTGTTCATGTAGGACTTGGGCTATAACCCAGCAATAGGGCATTTGTCCAGGATGTGTGAGGCCCTGAGTATTGATCCCCAGTCCTGAGGGGAAATTGACTTATATAGATAATAATTACTTTTCTATAAATGGAAGAAATTTTATAACTCATTGAGCTGTATGGTGTTGTGCTTTGCAGTACTCACTTAATACTTTTGTACATGAGAATGAGATTTTAAGAAATTTGGGAAGGTGATTATTCTTTTTGCTTCTTTTACTGTGATAGGTGGGAGGTGATTATTCTTAAGTAAAAATTCTTTTCTGTATTTGTGTATTGAACAGTGCATTCTAAAGTTCCAGGACACATGGTGAGTAGAAAGCAGGCATAGATAACTTTTTAGGATGAAATGACTTGTGAGTCATTTCATCCTAAAAGTTATGAAGAATATAAACCAAGGTTAAGCTTAATTCTGAGGGAAAAAAAAAAAACATGACAGGGTTTCATAAGTTGCCCAGGCTGGCTCAAATTTGTGATCCTCCTGCTTCAGCCTCCCCAGTTTCTGGAATTAAGGTGTGTACTACTCACACACTTTTTTTTGTGTGTGTAAGAAATAGAAATCATACATATTTATACCTGGAAACCCAAACCTAATCAGATACTAACAATATCTGAGTTGCAATTTGCATAGAAGGTCACATTTGACTACTTTTTACTTTATAGTTCAGGGATCTCCAAAACTTTGGGAATAACAAATATTATTTTAAAATAATAGAGTGGGGAATTTAAAAACTGGATAAAATTTAAATTAATTTATTCTAAGTTGAGGGGGTTTGGAATGGAGAAGTATACAATAGTTGAGCTGGTTACAAAATTGGTGTTGAGAACAACCTCCCAAAAGCCTTTTTAGGCCGGGTGTAGTGGCACATGCCTGTAACCCCAGCGACTCAGGAGGTGGAGGCAGGAAGATCACAAGTGCAAGGGCAGCCTCAGCAACTTTGTGAGGTCCTAAGCATCTTAGGGAGACTCTGTCTCATAATAAAAAAAAAAACTGTGGGATGTAGTTCAGTGTTAAAGTGCCTCTGGGTTTGATCCTCAGTATCCACCACACCCACCCCCATCAAAATATTTTGTTATGTCTTATTCATACATGTATTTTTTTTAAAAAAAAATCAATAGACTTTATTTTTTAGAGCAGTCCTAGGTTCACAGCAAAATTGAACCGAAAGAACAATTCTCATGTGTGTCTACCCCAACTCAGGCACAGCATCTCTCTACATCAACATCTTTCATCAGTGTGGTACATTCGTTACATTTCATGAACCAGCACATCATTATCAAAGTCCATAATTTACATTAGGGTTCACTCTTTGTGTTCATGTATTATTTTAAAACACATATTTTAAACTTTTTAAAGTTTAAAAAGTTGTTCTTGATTCTCTAGCTTACTTTGATTCACATCTCTAATGGGCTAATGATATAATAAATTGGATTGCTAGGTAAGCTATATGGAGTTCCCCAAAGACCTGGCTGATTTGTCTCTGCTTTGGCTTTATAGGGATGGTTTTACTCATTGAGTAATCTGAGTGTTTTCCATTGGTTCTTTCTTTAAGATACTAATCTTAATCAGAGCCATTCTTGTTTTGGCAAAAATTCTATAAAAAGGACTTTGGGGCTCCAAATAGCCTATTTATGTTGCCATTTCTCTGTGTAAAGAATTTTAGTTTAAGGGGCTAGGGCTTGTGGCCTAGTGTCAGAGTGTTTGCCTAGCATGTGTGATGCACTGGGTTCGATCCTTAGTGCCCCATAAAAATAAACAAATAAAATGAAGGCATTCTGTCTGTCTATAGCTACAAAAAACTTAAAGAATTTCACTTAAAATAATTGGAACTGTATGTTTGGAGTGTATAATAAAGTGGTGTGGCTGTTGGTTTTTTCAATGAAACTACTTGTAACATAGTCTCTAAATTTGTAGTACAATACAGAAGCATCCTTCTTTCCTGAAAAGAATGGGTTCTGGAATAGATGAGAATCTCATAGGAGCTTATTAAATTTTTATAATAGCCAGAAATTGTTCTCTAGCACTCATTTTTTTTGTTCGTTTGTTTGGGAGATACTGGGGACACTCATCCACTGAGCCACATCCCCAGCCCTATTTTGTATTTTATTTAGGGACAGGGTCTCAATGAGTTGCTTAGAACCTCACAATTGCCAAGGCTGGCTTTGAACTTGCGATCCTCCTGTCTAAGCATCCGAGGCTGCTGGAATTACAGCCGTGCACCACCATGCCCACTCCAGTACTCATTTATAAAGAGCTTTAAGTATTTAATTCCAGGAAATGTTACCTAATTATAACTACTGAGTGCCCCATACAAATCCTTAAACAATTCAGAAACATATTCTGTGGTTGTTCTCTACAGGTGAGGAAACTAAGCCTTAAGGAGAGTACATAACCATTATTAAATGGCATGACGTGAAAGCAAAAGCATTGCTACTCTGATATTGAGTTTAATAGTAATGGTTGGAATTGCACTAAATGGGATACAGTGAAACTCTAAAACTCTTAGTCAGAAAATGTGCATTTGAACATTGAATTATGTGTATGTGTTTTAGTTTTTCAAGCAAATCACCAACAAAAACCATGACTAAAGACTGATATTTCTCAATAGAAAGATAGAATGTTATTTGCCTGAGGAGTATAGTGTAAGTTGAATTGGTGAAATCCTGTCTCTGAAAACTGTTTTGTGCGTGTGTGTGTATTTGTTTATGTGTACTGGGGATTTAACCCAGGGGTACTTTACCACTGAGCCACATCCCTTGCTCTTTTTATTTTGAGACAGGGTCTTACTCAGTTGCTTAGGGCCACTCTAAACTGCTGAGGCTGGCCTTGAACTTGGGATCTTCAAGAGACAGGGTCTTATTGAATTGCTTAGCATCTCACTAAGTTGCTGAGGCTGCCTTTGAACTCCAGATCCTCTTGCCTCAGCCACCCGAGTGTGCTCTGCCTCAACTTTCAGGTCCCTTAATTCTTAAGAGTTACTTTCAGCTTTTTAGTGAGACGTGCTTATTTCTGAAAATAATGGGCAATTTTATCTTTATCCTTTGATTACATGCTTTGCACTTTTCCTGAAACATTTCATACTGATTTTAGACTTGGAGCCTGTACTTTTCCACTTTTCTGTTATTCTAATGCATTATGTGGAATGAATGTAAGTTTGCTAACTAGATCAGGTTTGGTAGAAGAATAAGATGAATTTTGTTCCATTTTGTTTAATGTACCAGAGTAAATGCAAACCAGTATTCTGGAGTGAGATATTTCTAGAATTAATTTTTCTTTTAGGGAGAAACAGCTGTCAGTTTTTCCCCTCTAAGTTTAAATGATAGGGTTTAAAAAAAATTTTATCAGTCATGTGACAAATGTTAATTTCAGGCAAACTATAAGCTAAAAGCAAACCACTTGAGTTCAAATCCTAACTTGACTATTTATTGACTATTAACATTGGACAATTTTATCCTCTCTGCCTCATCTATAAAATGAAGATAATAATTATACCTGTAACTTAGGCTTGTTGTGAGGATTAAGCATTATAAATACTTGGTATTTGTTTATTATTATAACCACTAGTTGGGGAGGTTTGAATATCAGATAAGAACTTGCAGAGTACTATCAGGTACTAAGATAAGCCCAGCTAGAGAAATACATACTCATTGTCTTATCAGGTATGTAATTTATAGCTTTTTAAAATCTTACATTTATTCTGTTGTTTTGATTATCAGAAATAATCTAATAGATTTGTGATTATAAGATGTAAACTATAAGATCATTGACACAGCCAACCTCCATATTTACTTGAAACAAAGAGCACTGAAATGACTTGCCTAAGATTTCATAGGTATTAACTTGAAATGGATCCGGTTTTTTTTGGGGGGGGGGCGGGGAGTGGATCTTGATTGAGCATTTTTTTATTATGTATTAGCTACTATAAATAATAAAATATTGATGACCAAATTTAATTTCTGATTATAGGAAATCTTAGATACATGGTCCCTCACCATTTCTTTTGTAGTTTATTAATTTCCATTAGTAATTAGGCCAAAAATTCACCTATCTCTTAGTGGCATACATCCAATAAATATTAAATAGTCAATATTTATTGAACACGGTGTGAGGTCTTATAAAGAAAAGAAAGATAATGGATGACCCTTTCCTCAAAGAGATTGTTAGATTAGGCATTTTATTGTAATTTTAGGAAAAAAATTTTCCTCCCATTTTCATTATTTTTGTCCTTCGGGTGATCTTTTCAGTTTTCTTTTTTAGCATGGTCTTAAAAGCAGCTTCAGTCTTTAGCTTTTCAGATAGACTGTTTTCTGTCTGAAATTGCTTTTTCCATCTTTAATTGCTTTTTTTACCTTTTGTTTTTATTATTTTTATCATTGGCTTGTTAAGTTTTTTTAATATTGTATTTTTCCAGTATCTTCAGTTTGATTTGGTATTTAACTTAATTGTTGCCTCTGTTGTGTTTATGTTCATTTATGTAAAGAGTTGAAGATTAAATATATCACTTTAGGAATTTGCTGCTATTTTTGTGTGAGTCCCTTTGGTTTTAGGTACCATGTTAATCAGAAGTACCTGGAATTCTGTGCCATTTAAAAATAGCTCAATGCTCCTATGTTCACTTGGTTTCTAGGTCTATTCTGGATAGCAGGTTTTGTGAAGACATTTATTCTTTCTTGGACCTCAGATTTCCCAGACATCTCATGGTATTTCCTTTTATATTATTTCATTAATGGCTGCCATTTATTCTTAGTATATTTTGTATATATCTTATTTGACAGTTGGATGAACAGTTTTTTTTATTCTTCACATATATCAAAGTTTGTGATAATTGTTTGGATTATTTTAATTTTCCCTCCTTATGCCTGTGTTATGAGCTCACTTTTTTCCTGCTTACTACATTGACTTTACCATTAAAAAAATTTTTTAAGAGTCAATTTTTTGTGTGTGGGAGGGCAGTATTGTTAATTGAACCCAGGGCCTCCTAATGTTAGCAAGTGCCCCATCTGTAAGCTATATTTCCTGCCCCTTTTAAATTTTTATTTTGAGACAGGGTCTCTCTCTCTCTGGCCCACGCTAGCCTCAAGGTTGCAAACCTCCTACCTCAACCTCCCAAGTAGTTGGAATTACAAGCATGAACCTCTATAGGATTTTATTATCAACTAGATTTTTAAGCAATATGAGTTTTTTTTTTTTTTTTGGCAATAGTGCTTTTGATATTATTGGAAATAATGGAATATTTGCCATTTTATAGTCTCAGTAGATAGGACCTCTTCTGATCAGTTGTGAGTAGTTACTGGTATCCTTTTCTGTTGGGTCAAACTCAGAGTGTAACGTTCTGTTTCAGATGTGATGATGTGTCTTTATCCTGAGGATGAGCATTTGTGTTTATAGAGAGATGAAGTTCTGGGGATGTCATCTATTTGTTTTTATAGCATTTGATATATAGATTGGCAGTTCATTTAGTTAGTGAGGCCAGAGGTGTGATTTGTCCTAGAAGCTATAATTCATTTTCCAATCCTTTGTAATGTTGTGTTCCAGGCACAATAAAGATTAGGGGGAGAGGCAAAAATAACACAGATAAAAGCCACTGTCCAAGTTGTAGCAAGTTCTTCACTGTTATCTAAAAACAGCTCAAAATAGTGCTTATTGAGGATTGTATATCTAAGAATGAAAACACCATTATATAGGTACCCTAGTAAATCATTTTAGATTAAAAATATTATTGATTTACTTAAAAATACATAAGAACATGCTTTTTACTTTCTAGTTCCTACCTCTGGTAAACAAATGCACAACTGAATGTACATACACCTAAAAATACAAGACTTCTCATAAGTCTTATATAAAGATGAACAAGTTGAAGAAAACCTCTACCAACCAGATGCTATTAACAAGACTTTTTTTTTTTTTTTAATTGCAGTTGGTACCTGTTATTAGGTCCAAGTCTTTAGCATCTTAAGGAAATACAGAATAATATAACGTCTGGATAGAACAAACTTGTAGTTTTATACATTGTTTGCATTTGTCACATAGAAATTTTATAATTTTATAGCCTTGTGCTAGTTAATAAATATGGGATTTATGAAGTAATTCTACTATGGTTATGGCGACAGAAAAGAAGGTAAGACATTTCCTTTTGTTCACTTTGCTTCGGTTATTTTGGGAAGAGACTTTTAATTTGTGGAGTGAAGATAAAAATATGGCAAGTAGGGCTGGGGATATAGCTCAGTTGGTAGAGTGCTTGCCTTGCATGCACAGGGCCCTGGGTTCAATCCCCAGCACCACCCCTCCAAAAAAAAAAAAAAGGCAAGTAAAGAACCTTAATTATTTTACTTTCAAAAGCTATTAGAAGATTCTCTTTAAATGAGATCTACAGAGTTTTTCTAGTTACACGTTGTTTTGTTATGAAATAAGAATTCTTGTTAGGTGACTACAGGTTGAGTATCCCTTGTCTGAAGTGCTTGGGACTGGAAGTGTGATTTTGGGATATTTGCATTAACTTTACAAGTTGAGCATCCCCAGTCCAAAAGTCTGAAATCTGAATGAATGGATTTCAGAGTATTTTGAATTTCAAATTGGGGGTGTGCAAACTGTACTATATATCGATTGCTTAAATATATGTGAAACATTCTTTCTGCTTTACATTAATTTCATTTTTTTCATAGAAATTCTATAAGGGTAAATCCCCATTTTGTAAATATGGAACCTGGTACATAGTTGTGTTTTTTTGTTAAAAACGTGCTGGGGATTGAACCCAAGGTCTTGCAAATGCTAAGTAAGTGCTGCTGAGCTACCCTCCTATCTCTATTTATTGTATTTTGAAAAGGATTTCTCTAATGTGTCCAGGCTGACTTTGAACTTGGGATCCTCCTGTGTCAGCCTATGGAGTAGCTGGGATTACTGGAATGGGCCTCTGTGTCCAACTCTTGGGTTAAATAACCTGTCTAGCATCACACACATCTAGTAAATGATAGAGTCAGGCTCCAAAGTTACTGTTTTTAATTTTTAGGGGGTAATTACTAAGTGTTGTTTTTTTGTTAAAATTGTTTTATGTGTGTGTGGAGATTTTTGTTTTGTTCTGAGGTGGGGTCTTGCTGTTTCCCAAGCTGGTCTTAACTCCTGGGCATAAGCCATCCTCCTGCCTCAGCCTCCAGAATAACTGGAACTACTACATACATGTGCTATCGTGTCTAGCTTATTGTATATTTTTATACTATAATAATTTATAATCTAGTAGTGTTCTTCTGGTTACACATTGTTTAAAAGTAAAGACTGGTTTTCTTATAGAATTCAAACCATTTTTAACATCTCATTTTCCCATTTTGTTAATTTTTTTCCTCAGAAGGTCTGAACTTATAATTTATACCATGTGTGAAATAGAAATTGACCTTTACAGGTATTGTCAAGTTTAATTGTAAAAATTAAATATAAATGCAAGGACTGCTATTTGAAGAAATACTGTTGTTCTTTACTTCAGGTATAGCATTAACAGATAGGGACTATATTGACTGTTGTTTTCTAGTTTATGGAATTGTTGATTTTGTTCCCAAGTTGTATTATGTCATTATTGAAAAGCCTTTGAGTAGATATTTTAAAAACAACATATTTAGCAAGTGTTATAGAGTGAATTTAGATTAGGAAACTTGATGTTGAAACTGAATGTCTTTTAGTTACTGTCATAAGTTTGTTTAAAAGACACCAAGTTTATTAGTTTTCTCTACTAACTGGTATTAATTAGAGTTAGTAACTCTGTGCAGTTAATGACTCTAGAGAACCCTAGAGTTCTTTCTTGATATTCATAGATTTATATATTATGGAAAATAAATTGATTTTTATTTTAAATAGTTTTCTTTGTATACGTGTATAAATAGTATAATAGCATTGATTCAAATTCTGGTATCATCTCAAACTGAGCAACCTTGGTTCAGTTATTTAGCCTTTTTTTTAATGTGTTCCTAGGTGGTAAAATGGATATACCTACCTCAGGACTGTGAGGCTTCAATAGACCATTCATGCAAAAGGGTTTAGTATGGTGCTTAGATAAGTTGTTAATATATTGTTAGATTACTCACTGAACCAAGAAGACTTGTTTTTGAATACTAATAAGTTCCAATTTTATCTTTTAAAATGAATAACATTTGTTGGCTGTTTACTGAACAATATCCCTTAGAATATGTCTTAGGTAATCTTTTTTTTTTTTTTTTTTTTCTTGTTTTGTTTTGGTACTAGGAATTGAACCCAGGGGTGCTCTACCACTTAGCTAAATCCCCAACTCTTTTTGAGAGAGAGTCTCACTGAGTTGCTGAAGCTGGCCTTGATTTTTCTATCCTCTTGCTTCAGCCCTCCAGAGTTGCTGGGATTACAGGCCTGCATCCCTGCATGTACCTGGCAGTAATCCTTCTTGTAGTATCCTAAATTCATTCCCTAAGGAAGGTTATGATTTAGAAACTTGTTTTCTTTTGTTATTGTTTTGGGAACCTTGCACATGTTAAACATGGGCCCTGCCACTGAAATATACCCCCAGAAGCTTTTATTTTGATCATGATTACACAACTTAATTCCAGAAAAATAAATGAAATAGATACCTCACTGAGCATATTGCTATTTGAGATCTTAATAAAGAATGCTTTCTTTACCTGTTATTTACTATTATTATACAGTGTGATTGTAGATAGTTAAGATAGTTCTTAACTGTTTTGTTCCCATTTCTTTTAAACAGGGTTTGTGGATGCACTTAGATGTTTGCAATGAGCACTGTGGCTGGCATGCCCCAGTGTTTTGGATACCAATGCATAGGACTCCATAGTAATCGAATTTACCAGAGGCGAACGTCATGAGCATAGTGATCCCATTGGGGGTTGATACAGCAGAAACGTCATACTTGGAAATGGCTGCAGGCTCAGAGTAAGTATTTAAGTCAAGGTATTTTTGGATTGAGAAGGGGAAAATATTTTATACAATCATTTTAGTACAACCAACCAGTGCTTAATCTGTATTTATATTTTTTGTCTTTTTGTATTTTTAGCTGAAATATCAGATGCTTAAGGGCCAAAATTTCTTTAGCTAAGATTACTTCTGCTAATAACTTTTGAGCCAAAATGCTGTGTTTTTTAAAAATTATTTTTTGTCTTTTCCATTTACTGATTGTTAGCATCAAGCTTCAAGATAGATGGGTGTGGTGGCACATGCCTGTAATCCCAGCTACTCAGTAGGCTGAAGCAGGAGGATCACAAGTTCAAGGCCAGCCTGGGCAACTTAATGAGACCCTGTATCCAAATAAAAAACTTTAAAAGGGCTGGGAGTATAGCTCACTGGTAAAGTGTCCTTGGACTCAATCTTTAGTACTTCCACTCTTCCCCAAAAAGAAGATAATAGGTTGTTTTAATGTTAAGATTTTTTATTTATATATTGGAAAGTAATTTGGTTTTAAATTTTAATCTTTTTTTCACCTTGAGATATTGGGGATATAAACTCATGGCCTCACACAGTAGGCAAGCATTCTACCTCTGAGCTGTAACCCCAGCCATAAGTTTTATATTTTAATCCTAACTAACAATACATCGATATATTATGCTATCCATTTAAGTTTAGGATTTTCATTTTTTAAGAAGAAAGTTGAGTTGAAAAATAAACTTAAGTCATTTTTAAATAGAATAAAGGGAGTGTTTCCTGCTGGATTATTGTTTTGACAACTTTTGTTTTTATGGGCGCCATTTCTGAAGGATTCAATGGAAGATTCTTACCTTGCCTCTAGACTATTTGGAAATAGGTACTTGTCTGCATAGACGTAAATGTCTTTTTTGGTTTTGAGTGACTGCTACTTAAATACTAAGTTATTGCTATGAAAGTTGTTAAGTTCAAGTGAGTATTGAGCTGAGGGATGGAAAGATCAAATGTTTATTATCTAGTTGAATGTATAGATGTATCTTACTTAATGGGACTGACTGCAGGATACTGGATAAAATGTAATTTAAATTTTAAAAAAAGGAAAAATTTTCTTTATTTTAGGACTCCAGAAATTGTCACATGGAACGCAAGAAAATAGACTTACTGTTCCTCCTTTTGCTGGCATTTCTAGTGGTCTAGAAGCATTTTGTTTTTACTACTCTGGTTCTGCCATTGGGAAAGACACATAGATGCTCTCTAGTACTTTTATGCTACACATTACATTTAACTGTATGATTATTATATGGTTTTTTTTTTTTAATATTTATTTAGTTTTAGTTATCGGTGGACACAACATCTTTGTTTGTATGTGGTGCTGAGGATCGAACCCGGGCCGCACACATGCCAGGCGAGCACGCTACCGCTTGAGCCACATCCCCAGCCCTTATTATATGGTTTTTAAAAACCATTATAAATTACACAATTTAATTCCAATGAAAATAAATGAAATAGATTCTCTGTCTGCACTACATATAAGTTGCTTTTGGTTTTGGTTTTGGTAAATAAAAACATTCCCAAACAAGGCACTATTAGGAAAATTAACTGTCACTCATTCTGCCAAAATACGGATACTATGAAGGAAGGAAACCCAGAAGCAAGAATTGAGAGGCACCAGGTTGAAAGTATTAAATTTTAGTCTTTGTTTCTTTTTTTGTGGTGTTTTAATTTGCAGTTTTAGGATTAAACACAAGGCCTTGTGCATTCTAGGCAAGCAGTACTTTACCACTGAATTAATATTGCCCAGTCCCTGGACTTTAAAAAAAAAAAAAAATAACATAAAGTATCCAATAGATACATATCCAAATCTAATGAGTTATAGGCATTTGGGTAATAAAAATTATTTGCTCTCTAGAAATATTAACCTCTACATTCCTTATTTATTTATTTATTTATTTATATAAATATATTTATGTATAATTAGTCTAGTATACAGTGTGTGAGAGAGAGATCTTTGCTTTGTTCATGTGACTGGTATGTGTTTAAAAGGCAATTTACAGAGGCAATTTACAAAGCCTTGTGTTAATTATACAGTTACAAAGGAATGAATAACTTGCTGGAAGAGGGGTAAATAAATAGCTGCCTGTTTGCTTTGTTAAATGTATTCATAGGATACATATATAATTACAGGATAACTGTGACTTATATTATGGAGTCAAATCTTTAAATACTTCTGATTCAGGAAAAGTTTTTTTGTTTCTCGCAAAGGTGTATGTCCCTCAGACATAATTCAGAAGGCAAAGTGCCAAATTTTGTTATGGGACCAACCATCAGAATTTTTGTATTTTTAAATTCTCCTTTTTTATGTAAGACCTGTAAGCTCAGAAAGACCCTTAAGTCACATTTCCCCCTTTTCCATGAAAATATAAACTTTGGAAATCTTTTCATGATAAAATTTTATATAACTAGCATATGGCTTTCTTTTTACTTCCAACATATCATGTTATATAAGATGGAAGAGCTTGTTGGGTGTGGTGGCACATGCTTGTAGTCCCAGGTACTCAGTACTTGGGAGGCCGAGGCAGGAGGATTACTTGAACCTAGGAATTTGAGGTGACCCTGGACTACATAGTGAGACCTTATCTACAAAAACAATCAAAAAACACTGAAAGCAAGCGATTGGGGAAAGGATGCATGGAATTCCCTTGTATGTTCCCTTTGTAACCTCTTTATGAATATATAATTATTTCAAAATAAAGTTTATTTAAAAAGGATTATTTTTTATTGTATTATGGGCGTATAGTTTTTATTGCATATTTTTTAAAAAGATTGTACTAATTAAATACAGTGTATCACTAATAAACTAATTTAAAATTTGGAAGGTACTCAATGTTTTTATATTGATTAAGTTAATGTATTGGATCAAAATTTATACTCACTTCTAAGGCTATGAAAGAAAACTTATTAGATCACTTATGCTCATCTGGTCTACCCTAGTAGACTAGTATTTTATGGGTAGAAAATTGAAAGTTTACTTCAAGATCTGTGAAGAAAGGGTCTGCTAAATGCTAGTGTTTTAGTTTCTAATAACATTTATTTTGGGATAATTGTATCTCTAAAATAAAACTCATTTCCACCAGCTCCATTTTCTTTATTACATAATTGTTTTCCACTCATCAGTAAGTTTTGACAATTTCAATTTTGATTTCATTTTGTCTTCCTTGAGGATAGAGACCTTATATTTACTATTTATATTTAACCATTGCCTTGACTAGAGTTGGACCTTCCTAAACCCTTGAACTATAAAGAATAATTTTAAAGTACTTTTGGAATAACTGGTTACTAAGAATTGATAGACTGTGAATTAGGGATATCTGCTCTGTAAGAAGAATAAAATTTTGTTTCATGGCTTATATTTTTTCGTAAAGCAATTATAAACTTTCCACAGTCCAATTTAACTAAAAGTGCTTTATTTAAAAATAACTTTATGCATAAAATCAAAAACCAATACATACATCTAGTGAATAAAAATGGAATTGAAACAAGCTACTTATATTGGAGACTCTTGTATAAAACCCAAAGAAATTGCCTTCTAGCTACTCTTGAATCTTAGCATAGTCATTTGTTCCTAGATTTGAAAAATACCCATCACAGCATACAGGTTAACATGATAACTGACTGGTATAATTATTGGTACAATAAAAGAACATGGAAAAATAATATTAAAGGGAAAATGAGCAAAGGTATTAATATAATTTTGAAAAATCCTGGTTAACAAATTTTTTAAACCAGGAAACTATATCTGTGGAGTCCTTTGATTAGCTCCATGTCCATAAATGTAGGCTAATATTAGAAATAGACTTCTTGTTATGGCATAATTTTGAAAACTAACAAGTCAAGAGGAAGCACAGTTTGGATCATCATTTATAAGCACCTACTATGTAAAAAGTGTTTTGCTAGAGACTAGGGGTTAAAAAAGTGAAGTTTAAAATTTTATCCCTATTCCTAAGGAAATTATAATCAATTGGAAAGTCAAAACTCTTAAAACCAGAGAGTTTAGAAATGTAATATGAGTCACATATGTAATTAAAATTTTCTAGTTGCCATATTAAATGTTTTTAAAGAGATGAGATCAATGTTGTTATGTATTTTACTTAAGTGAATATACCTAAAGCATTATCTTAGCATATTATCAGGATAAAATATGGAGATATTTTATGTCCTTTTTTCACACTTAGTCCTTGAAATCCTGTTTATGTGTTACACTTCCACACCTATCTGTTCCAACTAGTCACATTTCAAGTAATCATTAGACTATGTATATAGTGACTACTGTATTGAATAAAGCAACTCTGAGACTAAATAACAAGGTAGAAGGATGTCAGAGGAGAAAAGAACAGGTTTGTTACGAAAGTTGTGAAAGTGAGGCATAACAGGCTCTTTCTGAACAAGAAGGATAAGGATATAAATTAGCTGTTGTCATTTTCATTTTATAGATTGAGGAAACTGAGATCATGGCAGATAAGCAGCAGAAGCAGAACTTAATGATGTGTTGAATTTAGTTTTTTTCTATTGTAGCACTTTTGGTAATATTATTTCAAAGAACTACTTTGATTTGACATATAGTAGTAGCTTCAGTTCTAGCAGGAATATATGACTGCATACAACAAATGTAATCCCCAGGTCTTTGCTCTAAGAGTAAGGAATTGTGAAAGTAAAGAGCCTAGAACCCATTATCACTTGATGAATAGGAAAGTTGAGCCAGAAGCTGTTTATTAGAATTATGTGTTTTTAATCACAATAGAACTTCTTCTTTTACTTTTTACCTCTTCTGCTCTAGCATTTCAATTCTAAATTAGTTACACCCCCTCCCCCACCTACTCCCGACCTCACACACATAAAGGAAACTCTTCCGGAGCTGGAAAGTAAAATGGGAAAAAAATCCAATCCTTCTTGGCATTGGAAGCTTGAATTATTGTTACCAAGTTTCCTTAGTGCCATTAGAAATCATTATATAATTA